GCAAGAATAAAGTTCCTTGGGTAGCAGAATATCAGTTTCATGCAGCATAGATGTGAATGCGGTTGTCTCATTTAAATAATACCTCATAACAAGACGATCTCTGAGGAAGCAAGGGGAAATAATGCTGTGTCTGTAAGTTATTAACCAGAGACGATTTTATGTATGTTATACAGACACTGTAAGGAAATGCAAAGTATTTGGAGTACTTTTGCCATGGATAATAGATTTTAAGTTCTCTATACAATTTTGAAAAAATGTCTATAGCAACCCAGAGATAGAACATGTTTCCAAATCACTACTGATCAAAGGAATCTTGAAAAGGAACTACAGTTGTCAAAAAATTAAAAAAGACACCTGAAATCATCACTGTGAATATTGCTAATAATCAATTAATGATATCTGAAATAAATATACATAAAGGAAAGCAATATAGAAATGAAATAAAATACAATACACCCAAAATTGAAAATTGTTTTAAGAAGTGCCTTTCTCATTACAGCTGAATGTGATTTTCCAGATAGAGGCATTGTAATATGACCCTGTGTGCTGTTCTGTGTGTACAATAAAGCAAGCAAAATTAATCCCTTCCCCTGATGACCTCTAGAAATGAAAACCCATTATGGTAATAATATTTGTACTTAGGCCTTGATGTTTTTGTGCTGAATCTGAATGCCATGAAATGATTGTATACAGTGGCTGATTAGGACACATGTACAGATAAATACATAAATAATCCTCTTTATATAGGTGCAAGGTGAATTTTTAGATCTGGTATGGAAACTAGTTGAAGCCTAATAAAACTGGTAATCATTTTCTTTACTGCTAAAGTCTGAATCTTATTATGTTGAAAGGTCTATTAGGAACGTTTCCCTTTTTAACATGGAATGTATGTAACTGGATCTTGTGCACAATTTTCCTGTTTGTAAAACTTGAATTAAACATTGAAAATTCTGCCTAAGTTACTGGTTTTGGTGTTTGCCAAAGTATATATGGTATCAAATACTATAATACATCTTTGTTACCAGTCTGCGGTTTGGTTAGCAAACCCCACTTAAAGGGTAAAAGATCTTTTAAAAAACAACATTATTTAGCTTGGAACAGGAATCAATACTCCATATGATATGGTAATGAAACACAGACTTTGCAACATATTCATGGACACTGAGAAAGTGTGTGTGGTGAGAGGAGTGGGTGTATTTGTGTGCATGTTGGAGGGACCACAATAGTATTAATAGCCTGTAAAGGAGGTTTCTGACATTTGGTAAACACATGAGTACGACACAGAGCACAATAGGAACTACAGTTCAGAAACAATGATATGTACATTACTCTGGAATGCCATTAAATACATGTGAGCTCTCTTCTGTCAGCATTTGTATTTTCACAGGATGTAGCAGCAAAGCCCTATCTTTGTGGAAAAGGAAGGGTAAAAAGACATCCACAGATTGTTTCACTATTTTGCTTTACTTTTAATATTTGTGTATCTTTCTGATGTGGGGCATATATCCAAGCTGGTTTGGTTTTGCACAAACAGTCTGGCTTTCTATTTGTCCAAGTAGTAATAAATTCCCATTGATCAGGGCTTAGTGGAAATTAGAACACCCTCCATGTGCCTTGGACGGGAAGGCTACTCCCAGCAGACTCTCGCTCACTTTAAAAGCCCGCTGGAATGTTTCAGAAGGGTTGGTGTTGCTGCATATTACTTCACAATGTCAATACCAGAAGGCCTATTGACTTGGATCACTTTCTTTAAATAAGAGAAATTATTTAGTATTTGAAAATGGTAAAAATGGCCACCTGGTGTAAAAATAACACTACCTCGTCTCTCTTTCTTAGACTGTCCACCATATTGGGAAAGCCTTGAATTATTGCACAGTGTAATTTTTTTTTTTTTTTTTTTAATATATACCATGTGTTGTAGTTTCTTCTGCTAAAGAGTAAAACTTGAATTTATTAATTGCACTTTATTTTAGATTAAGATTAGGGGGGTTTCTTTTAAACAGTGTGTATAGATGTTGTCCAGATGGTGACCTGAGAAAGATACAGATACTTGCAAGACTTCTTATCAGTCTTTCAGACCTGTACTTCTCAGTGTTGGTCAAGCAGCACTGGCAGAGGACATGTGCAGAGGTCTCTTTCTAATGGTGATTTCCACACAAGTATCAGCAGGCTGCTAGTGAGAGGGAGAGAGGAGCTGTGAAAGCAAAAAAGGACAGATATGAAATGGGAGGCAATATACACTGTGCTAGGATTTGCACACATGAAACGCTTTATAATTAGTAAATACCCAAATCAGCTGTTTAAATCCATATTATAAGGAACTAGAAGATTCATCTGTATGAAATAAAGATTGCCAGTAAAGAAGGTGTGGTTTGGGTTTTGGAGTTGGGTTTTTTTCTCAAGAGGTTAGGAAGGCTGGAACTCAGCCACATATAAAAGCGTGCCAGATGTCAGGGAGGATCTTTCTTCTCTATGGCAGTAGCTTATTATCGAAAAGTATTTTCAGTATTTTCACCTAGATTTTTTCCCATCCTTTCTTTTGGGTTCCATTTTCCTTTGCCTGATCCTTCACCATCCTTCCTGATACTTCCTCACCCCACCAAAAATCTTTTCATATATGACCTACGATCAGTGAGTGATGATGCCTATTGAAGGGATGCACTCCTTGGGTGAGCTGGCAAGATGTGACACTACTTCTCCTGGGCAATCCTCTTTGGCATTCTTCTGGAGCTCTACGATGCTGAAGATTGGTTTCAAAATCTTAGCACTTTTCTATAAAAATAATTCAGCCTTCTCTTCTAGCTTAAAATGTGCTTTTTTAAAGAACAGCATCACTCATGCACAGCCTGTTAAATGAACACTTGTATTCAAATAACTTACTGATTATGCAGAACAACTCTGCCTGTTAGGGTACACATTCAGTGCAGAAAATTGCTCTGTTAGTTGGACTGCTTTTCCCGTCACAATGAAACATACATCTGCTTACAGCTAAAAGTCCAAGGGCCTGATTTACTAAAAATTAGTGATCCATCAGATTGATGGGCAATCTGCACTCTTGGTGCCTCGAAATTTCTTGCATCAGTCACTAGATCATGATTTACTAATAGGGTTTCAGGGCTTGCAAAATAGCACAACTCTAACCACATATTAATATTTAATCTGGCATTTTAAGTGCACCTAACAAAAGACCCCAGAGCTGCTGACAGGACCCTAAATTGTGAATTTCTTAAAAAGGATTTGACTGTTTCTATAGTGGGTTCATGTGGAAATCTGAAATAAAGAGAAATACATGAGTTAAGCCCTGCTCATGAGCTTACAAGTTTCTGACTATATATATTTTCTTGAAAAACTCTTTATAGCTTGTTTTTTTCATAGTCTAGATTCATTAACATATGACAAAGCTTCCTTTGGCAGTTTCACTGTCCATAGCTCATGATGGCAGAGAAATTTCAAAACTCATTTCTATATTGTGTGCAATTAAACTGTCTGTTCTTTAAATACTTAATCCACTTGGAAACACTGGAAAGGTGCTAAATGACAGTAAAAATCATGTATAAATCACAAAGACCTCTTTATTACCATGAAATTTAGTAATTGAATCTGCACAGACTTAGCAAATTGGGCCCTCTGTGTTTTCTATAGAATTTTTATGTTACCAGGACAGGCAAGAAGCTAAATTACATATTGATAGTGTTTCTACCATTTCATGGCTTAAACAGAGCAATAGAGTGAGTTAATAAGCAACTTCTCCTGCTGCTGTCAGATGAATATTCTAATTTTACAAAAAGTATATAGTGCATGTCTAGAAAAAGGTTTATTCATTTCTTCCATATTCATATGCCATAATTTATGAAAGATGTTCCCAACACCACCTGTAATAACAGAATGTTTATTAGTGTGCAAATGAGGATTATAAATGATGTTGCTTATCTATGGAACAAAACACAAAAGACAACTTATTAGCAAAAGACAAATTGCTCAGCAAGTTTCAATGAGCTGCTATGTTTGTCATGAAAAAAACCTTTTATTTGCACAGATCAATGCTTTTATAATCCATTTAAAATAATATACTTGCCACTAGGTGGCTATTTCTGATCAGATCATTTTACCATTTTAATTACATTTTTAATATCCTGGCTACATAAACAAAGATAAATTACAAGCCTTGCACAATCTGGCTGCTAGCTCAGGCACAATCTGTAATAATATCAGCTTTTGTTTGTGCCTCCTCTAATTAGATTCTGAAATCTAGGCTTTATCAATCAATAATTTTAATTTTAGAATTGCCTTTTGATCTTACATTTCATGTTTGTTTGCAGAAAATGATCAGTAGGACAAAGCTGATAATTTATGCAGAAACAATCTCTCAGCAGAGTTACAAGCGCATTCCCAGCCATCAACACAACCCGGCAGACTAAGCTTGACACAGGTCTAATTAGCATGCAGATATGTGTCGCCTCATTGGCAATTCAAATTGCTTTTTTATAATGTACCTCAAATTGTGCTACTCAAACATTGTATTTGATTTCCAAAGCCCCCTGGGCATCCCATAATGTCTCCCTTCATCCTGGGTACGAAGCATTTACTGAACAATCTGCTTCGACTCTGGCTATCTTTTCGGAAACACCTAAACATCATAACCGTGGGACCAGCTTTTCCTCCTCATCAGATAGCAACTTGTTCTTCTGCGGAGCGGCGGGTGCCACATCCGCAGGTTTAGCGATGATATGTTACCTTGCGAGCTCCTGCTCCCACGGTGGCTGCTCTACAGAGGGCTTCGTTCCTGTGCCACTCATTTAAAAAGGGGGAGGATGTCTACAGAGCACACATTAATATGCGGCACATAACCACGTCTCTGAATGCCAGCCTTCCATTCTTCATTAAACAAAATGGCTGGATTGCAGTGATTGTTTTCCCCTCCACACGCACGCGCGCGCACACAGACACACACACCACGCACACAGGCACATACCCACACACCCCCCACACGCGCTCCGGCTCTCTCCCTTTTTTCTCCCTCACGCACACGCACGCACTTTCCCCCATGCACACAAACACACACACACGCACACACACACACACACACACACACACACACACGATGCTCCCTGCCGTAGCGTGTTGTTGTCAGTGCGGTGAGTTACGTGTGAAAAGTTGTCTGCAGCACGCGTGACATGCGAGGAGATTCCTGCCAACGTCAGGGCCCTTTTTTGCCATGCAGCAACAAGTGGCAGAATCAATGGTGTACAGTTATTCAGCAATGTAATTCATTTCACTGGCTTTGGCTCCTAGCCAGATCCGCCATCTGTCTCTTGCTCTCCCTCTCTCTCTCTCGCCTGAATTTGTCCTACATTTCGTAATGTTACGTGCTTGCCATCCTTATTCTATGTCAGAGGTACAGCACGAGCCTCACCCCCGTTCCAGCGTGGAGTTCTCTGAGTTCGGTGGCACTTTGGATATTCTACTTCAGTGCCATGGGAAGAGGGTAAGAAAAATACAGAGGGATAGCTGCAAAGAGAATGGTGCTCTTCTATCCGAAAGCCAGAGCCTCTGCTTTTTATTTAAAGCATTGATATGGATCTGTCTCACATGGGAACTTTTCCTGCTTCGTTAGAGTATCTTCGTTTTCTTTATTGGATGCTGGCACTGTACGCCACTGCACAGCTCCGTGGAATGCCTGCTGTTGGATACTTGCAGATCCCTGCCACCAAGCAACCTCCTGCATTGGAAATCGGGTGACTACTCCAGGATCTTATGCGTGCTTGCTGTTTGAAGCTGCAGAAAAGTGAATAATCAATTAAGTATTGATTTCTTGTAAGATTTGGTAAATTTCAAAGGCAAGACAAAGAGGATGGCTTAAGGAAAGCACTGCAGGGACTTGGCGTAAATTAGACAACTAACAGCAGTGCAGAATAAAATAACACCTCAACTGAATATTTCCTTGGAAGAATTAGCACTAGCTATTGGAAGACGATGGTGGATTTAATCAAGACGGCAGGCACGCTTGAGTTTTAACTGTGAACCTGAAAGAGGAGCTAATTATAACCACCTTTTTATATGGAGCTAATTTGACTGAATGGATGCAAATGTGCTTTATTTATGGATGAAGAAGCAAGCCTTACAGCATTGACTTTGGGATCATCGCATATGCTAAGCTTTACAGCTTCTCTAAAAGTCAAGCCTACAGTACATTTTTATTTACTGAGAAGGTATTTATATGTAAGCATAAGCTAGCCGTACAAAAGATTCATCAGAACAATGTACTGTGGCACTGAGGATCTAATTATAATTTTGCAGCATTTCATGTTTTCTCTAATTTGGTGCTTTTCAACCCTTGCTTGTGATGGGCTATAAATGGGACAATAAATGTATGATTTAAACTATTGTGATTTTCATTGTGTAGTTTATTAATCGTACTGTAGTTTTCTTAACATGTTTCTGAATTATTCAGCAGTAATTTATAATGAAAGAAGCAGAACTGGTGGGGTGGTTTTAAATTCATTTATAATCTTCTTACAGATCTAAATGTACAGGTTCTACCAGCCGATGAGCTCTATAATTACGAAAGAATGTTGAAATTTTCAGATAAATGGGGCACTGACTTTACAATGGGCACAATATTGTATAATCAGTAAAAGGAGGATTGTTATGTTTTGACTCTGTGGAGACTGGTCTTGGTTAGTTAACTCCTTCTCTGCTGATAATGGTAAGCAAACGTACCTTATACAAGAAAATAGGGGAAGAATGTAATGTACTAGTTTGATGTTTTGCTAGTCTGAAACCTTAGCATTTTTTTTTTTCCATTTATTTCCATTTCTGTTACTTTTCTTTCCCCTGTTTGCTTCTCTGTTTTTTGTCTTTTTTTTTTTTTTTTTTTTTTTCTTTT